GGTTACAAAGCTTGCGACAAGGCAACTTAGAGAGAAAGTGGTTGTGGTATGGTGGACGATTGGACATATGTTGTGCCCTGGCCTTGTGGTTGTTTGGGTAGGGAGGGCTGAGAGAGCGAGCTTGCTAGGAAGAAAGAAGTTAGGTGGTACTATATTGAATGATGGTGAAAATTCCTTTGATCGAAATAGTGATTTTCCAATAATTTTATAGATAAGCTAAGGATTACACTGAAAAACAGAAACATGTCGTAAATGTATATGAAAATCTATCATACCATGATAATACACGGAAAAAATATAGGTTGTAAATGAATCGATGTGAAGAATATTTTAACAATGCATGTTTTCTATTATTTTGTTGCTGATTAAAGAAGAGCCAATATTGGTTTCACAAAATCTAGTGATGAATTTTCAAACATGTTCAATGAAGCATTAATAATAGCTAGAAAATATGCTCGAAAAACATTAAAGTTTGCTTACGAACATTATATAAGAGTATTCTCCAGTAAATTAAATAAGCTTTCAGATTCTTCTTTTACTAAACAAACATCCAGAAAGATGCAAAAAAAAAGAACAAACGATGCAGCAAAAACTGCACTTATATTACAAATTACAACTAGCACCATTTTGTGAAAAGATTTTATCTAGGGGGAACTAAAATTATGACAACCTTAAACCATGCTTTTGCTTCGATCATTCAAGCTACTAAAATAGCGTGACAAATGGTTACATATTAATACTAGGCTCTAGTGACAACCGCGGACACCATTGTATTCATCCCGCACATACCATGGCCCCTGCACAATTTATAGTATCCGTCTTCACCCCATTTTGTGCCCCATGAGTTTTTGATGATCCAGTAAGGTTTGTAGCCGAACCTCAGAATGGAGTAGCCCTTTGCCCCATAACCGACTAGCAAAACACCATGGTTTAGCATTCGCTTACCACATATCAAGGGACACGATACTCCGCCAATGTATGTTTGCATGAACACAGCGTTTAATCCAACTACATACATGACAACCAACAAAAATCATATCACAATCGATCTCACAATGCCAAAATAAAAATTCTCATTGCTAGTCAAACTATCATATCAACTTTATTCATAGTGGTAATGTAAGTACATACTTACACGAGTTCCTATAAATTCATAAATATATTTCAACCTGCCTACTTAATTATGTGCAATGATTAGACATTTTCCCTATCAACTTTATGTCAAATCTTTACACATAACTTGTAAGTTATGTGCTGTAACGTAGGTAGTATATTGTTTTGAGATGTTCATAGGCTACGTTGAAAACACATCAACAAAAAATTATGTTCCCTAAGAATATTTTTGTAACAAATGCTTGTGCATTCAATGATTCTCTACAACATCTTCAATAGAAGCATGCACATATACCAAGATCGATGTTCAATAAGATGGTATACCTGCAAGAGGACCATGATGAACGAGATAAGCCGCGATCTGTTCTTCATCAACCGGGATGGTGCTAAAATTTTCGACTTTGACGGCCACCTTGTGAGGATCAAATTGGCATTTGCCCTGCTTGCCACTATAAGGGTAAGATTTTTCCTCTTCAAGGCCTCCTGCCTCCATTAAATAGTTATAGGCATTGGTCATAAGACCACCACGACACCCGCGGTCACACTCGGTTTTCTTACTTGCGTCACACTAGCCAACATAATTAAGAAGCACATTATCAAGTCAGAAATTAATCCCGGTCTTTATAATTAGTAGTGACAATTTGTAATTACTCTTTAATATGTTATATGTACTCCGTAAGTTGTTAATTAATCGTGTAGCTTATTACCTTATGATCACAATCCACAAGCTGTTGTTCACTGAGACTTAAAAGCTTGCCTGTTGCGATAAAATTAGCTCCTTCGATAACTCCAGTTGTGCTAAAAGCCCAACACGATCCACACGTTCCCTAATTGAAATTCACTACATCAAAAATCCCTTACTAACACATGATGTAAATCGTAACTAGCCTAAGCATTCCAACTGCGTACATTTGTTAAGTTTTAGTTGCAACAAAAGGGGTAACAGTCGTGAGACATAAAAAATTCCTTATTACAACTAAAAATTAAAAGAGGTACTGTAGTATATAAAAATGCTAAAGCCATAAAATGAAGTATTAACAAACATTATTAGTTGGGACTAATATAAACATTGTACCTTAGCATGAACTCATCTCTTCCAAAAATCCACATTAAAATTACTAATAAACAAAAGAAATTAATTTAATTTAAGCATGCATATACCTGCATCTTGACATCAGTAACAGCCCCTTTTCCCCTCCAATCAAAACTCTTAGGTAACCCACGAACATCCAACCTAGGGGCCACCGCATCAGCGGAGGCCCCATTGGCACCCCAACCACTATGACGATCAAAATTGGGCTTTAAGCCCATGAACGCGGTTTGAAACTCCTCGGGAGACAAGTCCATAAACGGCGTAACCCCATGGACCGCCGAGGGGTCCAACGCCTGATGCTCCGCGGCCCGGACCAAATTCTTCGAAAAAATCTCCAACCGCTTGACATACTCTTCCCTTGTACTATACTCCTTCCCATGTTCACGCATAAAACTCACAAACTTACCTTCAACTCCTAATAAATTCCTATCTTCCGTAACTTGGTAGATATAATTATAATTATGTGAATCACTATAGTTTTGAGCTCTAACAAATGCGATGTAATTAAGTGTAACGATTAATAATAGTGAAAATGTAACGCATGATGTTGAGCTCTTTGTTATTATCATGTTATTTATGGTATATTATTTTTGCTTGGTTTTTTGGTTGAAGGTTGCAAAATTGGATTTTGTTTTGTATTTTATTAGGGTTTTGTGGTTAGAAATGGTTAGTTAGTTGTTGATAAGTGGCGGTTTCAAAGTGTAAGGTGGCAGTTTGTAAGTATACGTGTAGGAGTGGGGTTGATTTTGCATGCATGCAACGTTACGTGGAGGTGTTAATATGACTCCAACACTTATTTTCTTGGGACTTGAGAATTGAGTAAAACTAGCTAGCTTAGCTAGTGGGGAGTATTAGTTAACTTGAAAATCTCTCAAATGAGTCCCATGAGATTTGATCAATGATGTGGAGCTAATAGTGAGACATTCCATTATGCCATCGTCATCTCAACTAAAATTATAATATAATATTAAAATTATCACTATATTTTCACTTATTTTATATATATAAACTTGTTCGGGTGAATTAAATTTGTTCATTGAGTCTTGAAAGTCACTAAATGGGTAAATCGCTTGAGTTATATATGGGATGTCAAAATGTGTAGTAAGAACATTAGAACTTAGAAGCATGTATTCTTCTAATTTTCTTTTATCCTTAGATCTACATTCCGGTGACTCTTGGATTTTTTTGCCGGATTTATCACTTTTTGATCTATCCAACAAATTCTAGTCATCGTGTGTAACTTACAACTCCTATACGTTCGGGTAAAATAAATTTGTAAATATCGATTTCAACTAACACAAACATGTTCAAATAAGGATTAAGGGTATGTTCTGATACTTTGAAATTCAGTTCAGTTCAGCTCACTTCAGTTCAGCTCAGTTCAGTTCAGCTCCTAATTTCCTTCTCTTATAAAATATTCATTTCAGTCCAGTTCAGTTCATCTCAGCTCAATTCAATTCAGTTCAGCTGATTTCAGTCAATGAGAACATGCCCTAAAACTTGTTACTCAAGTTTGATTTACAATTACAACATGATTAATAAAAATTCGGCATACCCAAAATTTGAAGAACTTTATCCAACCAACCCAAGAAATTTGGGTCAATCTGGATTGGACTTAGGCGTAAGGCCAATATAGCTTTTGCAAAAATATTGCCAAAATTCCAATATTCTAATAAAGGCCAATGTTTTTTGCCTGATTCCAACCAAAATTTTGCCAGGCTAGGCCGATTGGGCCAAGACATTAATGGTATTAAGGCCTACATTTTTCATAAAGATACTTATTTAGATGTATTAATTTGGATGTTCGGATCAAGTTCAGTAATATTGGGTTAAATCGAATCTATTTTAAATTTGAGTTGTGTTAAATCATTGGGTTTATATAAGTGGAAATCAGGTTTTGATTTTTTTTTTTTTTCAAGTTGGTTTTTGTCACCACTAGCTTATCCCTACATAGCTAATACGAAGCACTGTTTATGCATTACATTGGTCTTTAAGGTTAAGATTACTTATGCATATGAGTTTCATACACGCATTGTGTGCATATACATGTATATATGCAGGCCTAAAAACATGACAAGAATTGGATATGTAGACCTTTGTGAATAATAAATCGATGATAGATTTGGAGTTTTTACAAAACAAGGATGGAGATGAAAATTTTAAGGAGAGTCGGGGATGCATTCGCCCCAACCCACCCCAATTAACCTCACCTTTGTATTAGAAGGTTAGAAATCTTAAGCATTACAATTCATGTGAAATTTGCATTATAATCCGCAACTTGTCACGTTTTAGGCCTGCAGCCACCCTCGTTATATGGTTTGGCACCTTATCATCGTGCACCGTCGTTGAGTTTGTTACGTTAGCACTAACGCAAAAGTCCTCTTAAGTCACAAACTTAAAGCAAGCTCATTATTTTATTTCATATTTTATTCATTTTGTATTCATCTTGATTCAATGATGTTAATTAAGTTTCATTCAATTGCAATTCATATAGCTAAACATGCAATCCTTCTTTATCAAGAACAAACTTAATGCACGCTATGATTGCATTCTACTAATCATGTTAGTACACGAGATATATCATTTAGGTACTAAGATTTTAGACAATTTTACATTGTTAGGTAAAAAACTAACTCACCTATTAACGTACTGTGTAGGATAGATAAATTAGCTAGGCCTTATACGAATTAAGTACGTCTTAATTTTGAGAGACTATCAAACTGAATCCTTGCTTCATTTTTATTATCGAGTTTTGTAAATAGAAATAAAAAAGTTATCAACTCAAAATTGGAATAAAAATTTATGTATAATTATCAAAATATACCCAAAAGGGCTGCTACATCAACAAATGGGCAGAAATAAATGAAAAGAATGACCAAAATCATAGTTTAAAAAATATAAAATCCATCTTAAGGTATATGATACATTTTAGATGGCTGAAGATTCTTGGTAACATTGAAATATTCCAATGTCTTAATCCACTTCTCTTGTGTCTTCAAAAGATGCACAGCAATTGTATCCGGCCATAGTTCATGGGTACACCCCGTGTGAGGCTCCGGATAATTGTACATCGACCATTTTGCATTAAATCGATTCTTACCACGATGCCCGTTTCTCATCCAGTTTCCAAATATTTTATCTTCCGGACCCTTCAGATGGGCTTTCGGAATATCCGATTCCTTGATCCATTCCGCTATGTCCCACGATACCAAATAACCCATTCCGGACATATAATTAACAAACGGGTCCATACTAGGACACGGGATAACATATCCATAGTACAAGTCCTCCCTAGGCAAAGGCCTTAAGGACTTGACCAAATTATCCAACCTAAAATACGTGTCGTCGTCGGCTTTTAAGACGTAATGGTACGGAGGGTATGGACCCTCATTGTTATTAAATATACTAGGGAGACTTGAAAAATAAGTGTAAGTCTTGCCCTTATTCATGTTCTCCGAACAATTAAGGATGATAATATCATTGTAACGCATAATCTCTAGGGCAACAAGCACTTTTTGATCTTCCTTTGTTAAGTTACAAAATACAAACTTCAAATCTACTCTAGCACCCTCCGGCGATTGCGTTCCGTAGATCATCCTTAGGAAATGTCGCTTGTGATATTGATCCGGTAACGTTAGAATCCCTACAAGAACTCGAATCTCATCATCCGAAGAAGGGGATGACTTGATTGTACGTAAAGAAGGAGGAAATGAGTCCAAAGACGACGAGTTAGAAACAAGAGAAGGCGCCCTAGAGAAAGCACATTTGCTTAGATTTAACAAGCTCTCATATCTAATTTCATTGATTGAAGCTAAAGTACAAAGAAAACAAATGATGAAGAAACAAGAAATGATAAATCTTTTACCATTACTATGCTTTGGTGTAACATTGTTTGTAATAATGGATGGTTTCATATTGGAAAAAATGTGAATATCTTTGGTATTTGAGGGTTGTTATGAACTTTATAATTGGGGTTATTGGATGAAAAATGTGTTTGAAAATGTGATTGGAAGTTATAAAATGAAATAAGAGATTGTTTCTCGATGCTATAAACGAGTTATGGTCGTTTCTTGATATTAAAACAACCAAATTGCTTTAATTTGACTTTTGTTAACTTAAAAAGTAAGTAGTCAAGGAGGATACGGGCCTAATTTAGGGGGTTATGCATGTGCCCCTTAGTTTCCATATTAAAGTAGCTAGCGTGTGGAGATTGTTTAAAAAAGGTTTAAAGTGGGGAGTGTTGAATATTCATGAGATTCATTAATAAATTTGGTATGTTTATATAGCATCCGAGATTTGGAATCGAATTTTATTAGTTACCTCCGTTTTTTTATTATTTGCAATGAAGAGGTAATACTGGTAAGATATAAAATAATGTTTTGATGTAAATAATTAGAAACGAAAGTAATATGATACTATCCTTAATTTGCATTTTCATGTCAATAAAAATGATATAGAATATTGAACTAAGAATATGTTTTTTTTTTTAATTTTATTTTATTTTATTTTATAAAGGATAGATACAAGAAGTTAGGCTAGTCTTCTCTCAAGATTGTAACCCAACCTAAGAAGCAATAAACAAAGAAAATTTACCATCTAAAAAAGAATCAATATCATAGTGTGTTTGCATAAAATGACCAAAAGAAACAATATAATATCCACTTGACTAGAGTCCAGTAGTCCACCATGCTCATCATCTCGAAAAACTGAAAAAGTATTGGATGAACGTTCAAGCATGGTTTTTGGTCTGGGCCCCAACTTTTTGGTTAAAGTGAAATTGGACTTCAACTATGTGATTTTAAACCCAAGTATTGATTTGTAGGCCTGCCATTTTGGCCCAATCCTTGAGATTTTTTACCCTTTTTTTTTTTTTTTTTTTTGTAATTTGAGTGTGTGTTTTCCTAAAACACGATTCGGTACACTGTTGCTATACTTGCTAACCTCGGCTAAAGTGAAAATAAACAAAATTAAATAAATTGGAATTTTTCTTATCTTGTTTGTGTTTCGAAGTGATATATACTCCATACTACGTATTATTTACCAAATACATCAGATGTACAAAATAATGTCTGACTAGTTTTGATCTTTTCCTTACATTTTCATGAAAGAGCTTAAAACAATAACAATGATTGTGATTCTTGTAAACAAGAGTGTATTTGAAGATAATTGAAACATGTAAACTTATCTACGGTCGATCATTAAATCCTATTTGTACACTTCACCAATTCTCGCTTATGCTCCTCTCAAATTAGTGACAACTTTATCTACAATGTTATTCCCTTGTATATATATTGGTTACAAATTTACAACCACTAATGATGTATTAATATAAAGTACTCTTAAAGTAATTTTAATACTCTATATAATTAAGGTTCATTATAAATGATCAAAGTTGTGCGCATTGACAAGCGAATGTAAAACTTAAAATAACAAGAATCAAAGAAAGCATAAGATGATCTTTTGTACTCCAATCAAGTTCCATAAAAATGTAGACACGTATAGTTTCTTAAACGTGCAAATTGCAATAGATCAAGGCAATTTGGCAATTTGTATGTTTTAAGGACACGCACCTCTATTCTAATCTAAATCTAAAAATCCCATAACATAAGACTAAGTCTAAAAATGAAGAAAAGTGTAAAAGATATTAAGAAAGTGGCGTATTACCTAATTAATACTAGTACTCCGTATTAGAATTAGTATAAGTTTTTCAACTTTCTAAGTATTAAGTAAGATTGATTATTATGGTGTAACCAAGTCAAACTCTATTTTTTTTTTCTTTTTCATACGTATGTAATTTGTTATTTGTTAAGTCATAAAGTCAACATTTTATGATTCAGGTATTTTTGCATTGCATCAACACGGTTTCATGGTTGACTTGTCTACTAAGTGTTATACAACATACTTAGACTAGACCTTTATTTTTCACGTGCAAATACTACGAAGTAGTAGGGTTGTAAAGACCAAGGAGAATGTCTATATGATACACTTGCCTTTATTTAAGTTGGTCTATGTACACTAAAGTAAACTCGTTTTTTCACAAGGAGATCTTGACTTCTTGCATTGATTTATTATATTTGAGTTCATTTTTGCATTTAAAAAATAGCGGGATGGGAAATGTAATATATTACATTTGAGGTTTATGGATGAACAAAACTTATGATAAAAAAAAAAAAAATTACGTGAAAGACATAGCGCAAAAGGCACAAGTTTGTATGTTAATTTGCAAAAAAATGAATCTAAATATTCTTTGAACACAAGCAAATTAAATTGGCTCATTTCTTATTTACAAATAGGCAATGAGGCTCTTTATAGCAATTTTAATTTAGTTTGTGTTAAACAATACTTTAAAATTTTGAGGAAGTAAAATCTAACAATATTGCCTAAAAATCCTACTGTTTGAAAGTGTAGACAGAAACTTTATTTCAATGCATTCACAAGTGTATGAGTAATATACAAAGCATATAAAAGAGTGAGGGATAACTCAAGTGGTCAAAGCTTCCCTCCCGATTCTAGGAGGTCCTGGGATCGAAAGCGTAAGTGCATTCTACATAGAGATAAAACATATGGAATATAATTCACAATATGCATGTGAAGAATAGTAAAAATCTAATCAATGCATTAAACATAAACAATGAATGTAATATGCATGTGAATATCTAGTAACAACCAATGAAACTATGAGCTCAACTATTATTAGCTCATATGTCTGCATCCGAAAAAAACAAGTTACTAACAAGGGAACTTGTATTTTGTCCCAAACATCAGCAGATGAATTTTGGAATTGTAAATTATTAAAATATATACTCGGTATGTTTTATTTGATTAATTTGTGTAGAACTTGAAATGACATTTGTTAAAATTGAAGACATATTATATGTTAAGGTCCAGTCCAAATTACATAAAAATATACTTCAATCTATCCTCAGTTTTTATTTATAAAAACATGCAACATTTCAATAATGAGATTATCAACATAATCAACTTTAATTACATTTCTTAGATATATACAAACTAAAAGAAAAGCATAATTTTCACACACACACAAAAAAAAAAAAAAAAAAAAAAAAAAAAAAAAAACAAACAGAGAGAGAGAGAGAAAATTGCAAGTAGAAGAAAACAAAAAAAAAGGCCTACTTAAAAACAAAATTGTTTTAAGTAGATGATATAGGGCATATAGCTAAAGCTGTCAATTCAGGTAAACGGGTTGGGTTTGGGTCGGGTCAAGTCAGATTAATTTCACAACCTATGCGAGTCGGGTTTGGGTTGGGTCATGCTTGAGTCGAGTCATACGTCTTATCGGGTTTGGGTCGGGTTTACGTCAGGTTACATTCGGATCGGGTGAACAATAGGTCGGGTTTTCACAGGTTAAAACGGGTTACAGTAATTCTCGGGTTCGAGTCAGGTTCGGTTCAAGTCAATAATTTGCGGGTTAGAATTAAGTCGGGTCATTCTCGAGTTTAAGTCGGGTTCGGTTCAAATCAATAATTCGCAGATTAAAAATCAGATTGGGTCATTTAAAGTCCGGTCATTCTCGGGTTCAAGTCGTGTTCGGTTCAAGTCAATAATTTGCGGGTTATGATCAGGTTGGGTCATTTCCAAGTCGGGTCATTCTCGGATTCAAGTCAGGTTATGTTCAAGTCAATAATTTGTAGATCAGGTCATTTCCAAGTCAAGTCATATCCGGGTTCAACTAACAATAAATAGATAATTATCATTTTTATCAAGCTAAGTTTATCCTTTGACTATAATATATATGACAATATACAAGAGAAATATAGTCTATACTTTAGGAAGATAATTTTCTCCTTTGACCATACAACAAATATATACTATATTTAACTCTTAAATTTGAGGATGATGCTCCTTTCTTTTGCTGGCCCGGCTCCCTACACAAAATGCTTTTATCAACGATAATAAGGTGGTCTAAATTGTATTTAAGGTGATTTGAAATCGGGTCAGGAATAATTTGGGTTCAATTTAGGTCGGGTCAATAACAAGTCTTGTTCATTTCGAGTCGGGTTAGTAACAGATCGGGTTGAATATTTGGGTTGGGTAAGTAATAGGTATGGAAAAAATTCGGGTCGGGTCAATAACAAGTCGGGTTGAAATTGGGTCAGGTCAAAAACAAATTGGGTTGATTTTGGGTTGAGTTTGTAACAGGTTGGGTTAAATTCGGGTCAGGTAAAGAACGGGTCGGGTTGAATTCAGGTCAGGTTAGTAACAAGTCGGGTTAAATTCGGGTTTTGATGGGTGAAAACTGGCTTGGGTCAATTTCGGTTCAAATCGGGTTCAATGCAAGTTAATTAAAATGGTCGTTGTAAACCGGTAAATTGATGCAAGTTGTAAACCAGTAATTGGCAGTTTAAAAGCAAATTGAATGGTTCCACACTCCCAATTGGATTCCCAGAGGATATTAGGGACCATGGTAAAGAATTCGGCAATTTTTATTTCCAGGCGAAAAAAAGTCAAAAAATTCCAAAAATAAAGGCTAATATCCACCCTTTTTGAGAAATTTTGGAGGTTTTAGGGCCCGATGTCAAAAAGGCTTGAAATTTTAGGAGATACATCTCGAAGTCATATAATGCCATTTGGAACCATATATGATCATTATATGTTGTCATAAATGTTCGTGGTACGCTTGAATTACTGAAATCGGTGCAAGTTGTAAATCGGTCGTTTAAAGGCAAATAGGATGGTTCCACACACCCAATTGGACTCCCAGAGGGTATTAGGGACCATGGTAAATATTTCGGCAATTTTTTTTCGGGCGAAGAAACATTAAAAAATTCCAAAATCGAAGGCTAGTATCCACGCTTTTTGAGAAATTTTGAAGGTTTCGGGGCCTGGTCTCGGAAAGCATTTAGATTTTAGAGGATACATCTCGGGGTCATATATAATGTCGTTTGGAACCATATATGATTATTATATGTTGTCATAATTTTTTTTGGTCGTAGGCTTGAGTTAATGAAATCAGCGCAAGTTGTAAACCGGTAAATTGGTCGTTTAAAGGCAAATTGAATGGTTCCTCCCAGTCAATTGGAGTCTCGGAGGGTCTTAGGGACCATGGTAAATATTTCGGCAATTTTTATTTCCAGGTGAAAAAAGTTAAAAAATTGCTAAATTGAAGGCTAATATCCACATTTTTTGAGAAATTTCGAAGATTTCGGCCGATATAGCTAGTGGTGAATCTTTATTGGGCCTTGCCTAGTGCAACAAGGGCCGCATTCTATATCAGATGGTAATAGGTATTTAGGTAGTGTGTCCATTGGAGCAAATTAAAAATGCAAATAAATCAATGATACCATTGCGTATGCAAGAATGCCTTAGAGGTTAAATTAGGGCACGGTCTTGTGAGAAAATGTTCCTAATCTCTTTCCCTGTATCCCCTTAAAAACTACGGACCTTAGAGTGGTTTAAGGCCTTAATACTTTGCTAGTGTACAAGTAATTTATGATCATCAACACAACAATAAAAGTAACGACAGATTCATTATTGATTACAAATACAATACAAGTAGGAGTCTAAAAAGATAAACGAACTAACGATGAATTTGTTAGATCCAAGTCTAAAGATGCGTAAAATTAAAAGTAGTCTGATTGTATGATTATTGATTCGTTTGTCCCTTAATTCTGATGCCTACCTTCTTGTTTATTTCTTAGCAGTAGTTGTTCTTTCCGTTTTTCTTCTAGGGGCAAATCCATTTCAAAAAACTTGAATTCGTTATATCTGTTGAACTTAGCTTAGAATGACCTTGTACCTTTATAGTCCTACATAGTTCTAATTATAATATTTATGCTATGTTCACTTCATCTATAAAAGGTATTTTAGTTTGACGGTTTCTAATATATTATATAAATCTTATCTAATCTAATTTTTAATTCACCAAAAATAAGTAATAACATGGGATAAGAGCCGGTAAAAGAGAATAGAGCCTTAATTATTTATTTATTAGTAAAATCTATTTTATAAATTGAGACAAATTACTTTTTCTTTATATTTTTAAAAATGATATGCTTCTCACTTACTCCTTGTTTTCCTATATTGATTTTATTATTGTTACATAAAATTGTGAAGATTTTAGACTTTTTCCAAACATATAATGAACGGAGGACCTACTTAGTACTTATAAAGTTAAATGATTATGATGACTCATTGAGTCATATATTCTTGTTGGTCTTTTCAACCAAGCCATTTAAACAAAAAAGAAAAACACAAACATTTGCAAATCTTCTCAACAACTATTAACTACTAATATTGGTAATATATGAAAACAATCACAATGAACTCGTTGGGAATGATCTTGGGTGTCTCACACTAAGTACTTGTTCTTGTTCCTAGCTAGTTTGTTTTTCATTTGGGGCTTTCAAAAGGTCTGGCCGTCTAAACAGCGATAGTGGTTCCATCTAACCCACCTTATTGCAAGAGGGGGCATGTGTGATGTGTCCTTGCTTGATGGATTATAAAAATAATATAGGAGGTGACTCGACATATATTAGGAATTTTAGGGGCGTTTGGTATATTAATTTTAAATGTAGGAAACGAATTCAATTAAGTGTTTCTATTTCTAGTTGTTTGTTTCTATTTCTAGTTATTAAAAGTAACAAATATCGTTTTCTAAGGGTAACTAAATCCCTTTATTTAATTTGTCACCCTAGACAAACTACTGGAAACAAAATATATTCCTTACTCACAATTTACTCAAATTGTTTCCATTCCACTAGGATACTAAACATATAGTAAACATAACGTTTATTATCACCCTTTTCCCTACTTATTTGAATCATTTTTGTTTCATCATTTACAATGTTTATACATAACACCCCCTTATAGTGATTGATGATTTGTGATTTAAGGAACGTGTTAATGTCGAAGTATGTCCCTAATTTTTTGCCCCATTGCAAAATATGGATCAACCTTTAAAATCTTTTACTACAAAAGACTCTTAATCTATAAGAGATACTCCGTGGTATAGTCATGTGGATCTCGTTTGATATCTCTTATTAAATATTTAATTAATATCTTGTTTTTATAATTTTTACATATGTGACAATGGAGATAAAACCGTTTAAAGAATAAAGATGCTTGTGTGAAGACTATGAAAAGTCAAATAGAACAAAAATAGAGACTGATGGAACATCAAATACAGGAAGGTTTTGTGTAATTAGTTGGCGATTCACTTTTTCTTCTTAAGTATATACTACCCCCGTCCCCAAAAGAATGACCCATTTGGCCTAATTTTAGTCCTAAAAAGAATGACCCATTTGTATTAAAATCCCCACCAATTTGCAATAATATTTGTTCAAAATTAGCTTCTCCATATAAAATTTTGTTTCCCTGTGTACATTCCAACTGGAGTTTCTTGGTAGTGATGGTCTATTATCCTTTTTTTCCACTTTTAAGGGTCTATTTTGTTCATATTATTTTTACTTATTTTAAATCAGATAAATTAAGAAAAAAAAATAAGTTTTAATAAGTTCAGTTTAGAAAAAATAAGTTCTAATAAGGGTTTTAACTTTAAATTACAACTAAAATAAGTTTAATAAGTTCTGATAAATTAAGATTAATTTAGTTTAGTTCGTATAAATTTAGTTAAATTCTGATGTCTAGCCAGAATTAAAATCTAGTCACAGCTAGTCATTTGTCCTCACCATAAAATACAGAAAGATATGATAAATAGGTCATAATTGCATATTTATCTTGAAAGTCACCTCCCACAAGTTCAATTTTAAAAAATCACTTTCAAATTTAATACGGAGTAGTAAAATAGTGGCCATATTTATAATTTTTTGTTTGATTAATTTTAATGCTTTAGACAAATTTAATTTTTTATACTTTGTCCATTTCTTTTTAATGTAATATCTTGTTGTAGGTACACATAAATTTTCTTTTGATTATATTATTTTAATTTTTACACTTTTGTTTATGTTACTATACAAAGATTTTACATATTTTGAATGATAATTTGACTTAAAAATATTGTAAATCATTTTTATAATATCCGTACGGAGCTAATCTAGTAAATAAATAAATTATCTTATCTTTTAAAAATTCTAAATCCAGTCACTCGGATCTTTAAAAGGGTAGGAAATTAGGTAGCTGCAAAAACTCGCCAAATGCCAACCTATAGGTGAGTACCCTATTAATGGGCCCTAACTTACGTAAAACAAGTGTATATTGCGATAATGATGGCATGCTCTTTATATCATGATCTTGTAGTAACACTTATATTAATTTTTTGCATATTTTATTTCTTTGGGTGGGTTAGTGAACTTGAATTGTGTCCACAAATTATTTGAATTGAGCACTAGTCCACAAAATCAACACAAATAAAAGGTCTAACGTAAAGAAAAACACACATACTATGCTTCTTTTTTGTTTATGATGTTTTTTGGTGGAGTGACGCTTATTAGCCGTCATGCACACACATATATTACATAATTCACCACTTTCACATTTGTGGACCCGCCACACAGCCCGACCCGGTCCCATCTGACCCGGCCCGTTTGTAGGTGAAGTAGGTAAACATTGTCGTTTTTCTTAAGCTTTTTGCCCTCACTTATCTTCTCACCAATCTCAACTTCCTACAACCCTTATCGTTGTAAGTTGGTTTTTGTGTCCCTTTTCTTCTACTTTTATCTATGCTTTGGTAAATCATGCTCAACTACAATTATACTAACATATCCATGAGTCATACTAAAATAATTGATGCAATCTTGCACTATTTAGTATCATCAAAAATAATATCAATTTTATTTGGACGGTGTACAAAGAGTTATTATGAGAATATTAAAATGTATATGGCATATGATCATACGTATCTTATAATTGATTAAATGTCACAACTAAGTTTTAAGCCAAATAAATTACTTTACATCTTCAATATGGACAAATCCTATGTTTTGTTTTCGGATACACTTAAAGTTAGGTGTATCCGAGATTTTTTTTTAGCTCATTTTATTAGTTTTACAAAAATGAACAAAATTGTTTAATAAAATAAAAATCATAGGTATACTTAACTCTAGTGTATGCAAAATCAACTAAATTTATACAATAATTGAAATTTTCTATTCTTAAATAAAACATGTATAGTAGTATGTGGTATAGATTTAAATTTTTACATATATATACTTTATCTTTTAAAATAGCATTATTAATTTGGGCCATACAAATGGAGTAGCTAGTCTCTTTGTTTTTAAAAAAAAAAAAAAAAAATTGTAATGAGTAAAGATAGTTCTTATTGTGAACTTCAATTTTTTTATTTTTTTTTAAAAAAAAAAAGTTATAAACTAATGATTTTAATTACAATATAGATTTATTATTTTATGCTTATAATATGAACCTGTCAATTTATGAGAACTTATAACTTTCAATGCGATTAAAAAAAATTATATAGTATTTCATTACCCTAATAGTCATATACAAAGCAATTTTTCCTCTCAATTTTTTTTTTTGTTATAATATTAACATAATTCAAGTACGATAACCAATTATGCAAAGTTGACGAGCAACACTTTTTTTTTTTGTTGCAAAACATAGACTTATCTCCATCTTGCATCTTTGATATTTTCCTTTCATTCAATTTAAAATATCTATAATAAATAAAAAAAATATATTAATATATTACAAGTACAAAATAAGCTTATAACATGCGCCGAAAAAGAAAAAAAAATGGTTAAATCTAACATACTAATCTCTTTTCTTTTTTGTTATAATTATATTTTCATTCATTCACCAACTTTGTTAGGTGAAATCCTACATGGCAATTCCAAATATCCCACCCAGTCAAACTTCTGACCTCCAAATTTAATTTAATTATTTTTTTCATCCCAAAAATGTTGAATGAGGTATCCAAACAAGGCTTTCAACTAAATCTCTTCACCAACTCCATATGTCCAATTTTTTTGTGATCATCTACTTCTCAACCCCACCATTATCCCTCATACAACCCAATAGAAACGCGCCACGTAGAATCACGAGATCGTAAACACGACACGTGCCGTATAATCAATGGTGAGTTACATGTTTATGCACATATTATGAGTGGCATGTTAGAGAAGTTACATGTTTTGTCAACGCACTTTCCATTTATACTTTGATCGCATTCTAATCATACCAACCCCCTTTGCTCCACCCGCTACCCCCCTCTACCTCTCACCTACTTCCATATATTAACCCCTTAACCAACCCTCCCAAAAAAATAGGGAAGGTTTTAGTAATAACTTACATTACATACCTTCTCTTTCTATCCTCACTAATAAACTTTTCTTCATTCCTACTTTTCTCATCAACTATTATTATCACATACATACATTTCTTAAACATGGGTTCCGAACAAGTGAGCAACAACCATATTGATGAGCGACATGAGGTTGACAAGGTTGTTGAGCGTAAGGAGTTTGTGTTTCGGTCCAAGCTCCCGGACATCTACATTCCTAACCACCTCCCCCTACACCAGTATTGTTTTGAGAATCTACGTGAACATGGTAGCCGCCCGTGTTTGATTGACGGCCCAACAGGGAGGGAATGGACTTACGAGGAGGTGGAACAGACGGCCAGACGTGTTGGAGCTGGGTTTCATCACAAGCTCGGGTTGCAGAAGGGTCAGGTGATCATGCTACTCCTCCAGAATAGCCCCGAGTTTATATTCTCCTTCCTCGGGGCATCCTTCATCGGAGCCGTAAGCACGACGGCCAACCCATTCTGCACCTCGGCCGAGATTGAGAAGCAGGCTCGAGCTAGTGGAGCTCGAGCCATCCTCACCCAGTCCGCCTTCGCGGACAAGGTGAAGTCCTATTGTGAAGAGAACAACATTCATATAATCATCGTGGATGCCATATCTCCAGATGGTCCCCACCCCAACGAGTACAAGCACTTCTGGGACCTAGTTGGGACCCAAGGGGAGGAAAACAACTTACCCGAGGCAAATATAACCCCAGATGATGTGGTAGCACTACCTTATTCTTCAGGCACCACAGGCCTCCCTAAGGGCGTGATGCTCACGCACAAAAGCCTTGTGACAAGTGTCGCACAACAAGTGGACGGGGAAAACCCGAACCTCTACTTCAATAGCGAAGATGTCATCCTATGTGTATTACCCTTGTTCCACATCTACTCCCTTAACTCCGTGTTGCTGTGTGCTCTACGCGTTGGGGCCGCGATTCTTGTAATGCCGAAATTCGACATATACATGTTGATGGAACTAGTCCAAAAATATAAAGTTACAATTGCACCCTTCGTACCTCCAATTGTTTTAGCAATCGCAAAAAACCCGGACATGGACAAATACGACCTTTCATCGGTAAGGGTAGTATTGTCCGGAGCAGCACCCATGGGTAAAGATCTTGAAGACGCTGTTAGAGCTAAACTACCAAATGCCAAACTTGGACAGGTAATTAATCTCGTATCATTATTAATTATTTTAACTATTCATGGTATATTTAATTTTAATTACTAGACCTACAAAATCAAATTTGATATGACTAAAGTCTAAAAGTTAAAGATTTGATTTTTTGCTACTTTTACATAGGTTGCTAGTTCAATAAAGGTGTAACATATTAGGAAAATATGAAAAGTAAATAGTAGTATATAAAGCTAAAAAATGAGAATAATTTTCTGTTATAAAAGTCAGTCCACTCTGACGTTTATAATGTTGTCAGATTTTACCGAGAATGTACAGCAAAAGGTGACAATGTCATGAACTCACGCACTACTTATTAACCCTTTTTTTTTTTTTTTTAATTTAAACTAATTATTCACAATTATTTTAATAAGGAGTATGAAGTACGTGATGAAAAATATATGGAATCATATATGCATAATGTTGATGAGAACCTAACATAATGAGAACACGTACTTATAAATTGAATAAAAATCGTTCAATAAAGAGACGTTGAATAGAAATCATTCTATTAGAGACTTTGTGAAAGAAAAATGGTGCATGCTTTATTTAAAGGTGAAAAGAATAAGTAAAATCTTGATAATAGTACTACTTGTTTATGAGATGATTAAGTCACATACGTGATACATCGTCATAAACATTTAGGAAAATGCTTCAAAGGAATAGTAATGAATTACTACCTCCGGTCCATATTAGTCGTAACTTTGAGTTATTATTTGTGAGATATAAAATATTTTAAAGTTGCGAGTAATTTGGACCGGAGGTAGTATATTATTATACATTTCTCCTTATATAGTTACATAATAAGACGGTAAGTAGTTTGTTCAACTTATTTTAGATTTAATATAATTTCTTACCGCACAAGTCAAAAAAGAAAGTCGAATTTAACAAATGATTTTTTAGCTTTAATAATTTCGATTATTTCTTACAAGTGTGAATGAGTTCATATAAGTCACATCCACAATTTATAGACAATAGAGAGTATATCCATAATCATGATTATGTTAAACTAACATGAAAACTAATTCCAAATGAAACTACAACTTAAAAATATTTTAACTAATGTCGTTTTTAATTTGTAAGATAATCTTTGACAAAATGTTATGCGCTTATTGATATAATTATGTTACGTGTGTGGAATGAGAGTTTTCTCTCCCTTTCACCCCTAAAAAATAAAAATAAAATAATGAAATTAATACGTGTGGAATTGATAGCCTAATATAACTATTAGGTTTGACATACTAACGATTTAGGTGAAGTTGATACTAACTTTTCCATAATTAGGAGAAATTAATGTAAAATTAATTACAGGATTAATTGTACTTTTTTAATTAAACATTTCATACAACTGTCACTGCCAAGGAAAAAAAATAAAGGGTTAGTGATTTCAATGACTTCATAGCTTTATAATTAGACTTGAGATTATCTTAAAATAATACGGAGTATATATTAGTAAGTTATTTTCTATAATACTCTTAAATCTTAATAACTATATTACATACCTTGACACTTTAAGATATTATAGGTATAGTTGGCGTGATGGAAACGTAAATTGTATGTAATTAGTGAAAGACAGTTATAATTGTTTTTGATTGTATGTAATTAGTGAAAGATAGTTATAATTGTTTTTGACTTGGTTTTATACAAAATATGATCGATAATAATATATGAGGAAAAGAACGTAATAATTTCGTTATTATAAAGAAAAGAAATCCGTACAAATAAAAGTGAGCTTAAATTTCATCATAGTTGAAATAAAGGGTAAGAAATGGACAAGGCATGCTCTCCACCACTTTTTTTCCTTTCATTTTTTCTTTCATTTTTTTTAACGAAAAGAAATCGAAATAAGAGTACTAGTTGGCAAAGTGGTGCATTACATGTCTTTTTTCTCCAATTATTTGAAGATAAAAATTACTTTTATTTTATTATACACCATAATAGGGAATGTCGTCTTCTACATTTAAATCATTATCGATTAAGAGTAATACTTTATACAAAGCACTTCAAATGATTAGACAAAATGTCATGTTAAACGATGTCTTTTTGATTAAAAAAAAATATTTGCATTTATAATTTGGTCCATATACTAAATTCTAGTACATTGTATATTGTTTATTTGTATATAACGTAAGATTATATTCATAGGCCATGGCCACCACTTCACATTATTTTATAAAAATATAAAATATAAAAAAAATTTATAGTAATAAATACAATAGATGGGAGAAATTAATGGATTTTGATCTTATTAGACATATACCATCTATGACAACTAATATTTATAACTCATAAGAGTTATAATTCATAATAATGGTGCTTTTATCCCTATTATTAATCGTGGCAAATTTTGGTGCACCAAAATGCCATATATGGAGTGATAGATTGATGGCGATCGATTAAACTAGTTGAACTTTGTTCCACATAATTCCATTGATGATTATTTTGCTTGATTTGACTTACCAAATGTTATAAAATTTTATTTTTGAGCAAAGTACAAGTAGTTGATAAGACCTTCAATTCTCTCCTCCTTTGTTTGTCAATTGAGATTTTATTGTGTTTTTCATTTATTTGTGGAATGAAACTAATGAAAGATAAAATTAGTAAGTCAGTGATATAATGGACGCGAGTGTGAAGTAATGTTTCCTCATTTTCACATAAGAAAAAAATCAAATCCAAAATGAAAGCGAGATAATAAAAAATTGACATATAGATGATTACTTAACAAATTGTTTCATATTGTTTCGAAATTTAACAGTACTCTATATACGTCGTATTAATTACATTTATCGGTACATGTAGGGTTATGGAATGACCGAGGCAGGACCAGTGTTAGCCATGTGTTTGGCATTTGCAAAAGAGCCTATGGATGTAAAGTCTGGATCATGTGGGACAGTTGTACGAAATGCTGAGTTAAAGATTGTTGATCCTGATACCGGTCTTTCTTTACCTAGAAACCAATCTGGAGAAATTTGCATTCGTGGTAGCCAAATCATGAAAGGTTAGTTGTTATCATCTTCTTTGATTTTTGTTCAATAGTCATAATGTGAGGAATACAATTTAATACATTACAAAAAAACAAATAATTAAAAACATTATGATATTAATGAGACCTCGACCTATTGATTAAGACCAAAGGTCTATAGGGTAGCATTTCAACAAATAAATATGACCCACTAAATCGAGACAGATTTGTGTGTGACTCATTAATGTTCGATCTCTATACTTAGCCGCATATATTTCTATCCTGACCCTTCTTAGATCCATTAAGGTGAGGTAATTTTAGTGCAAACGAATCATCGTTATTCATTTTGGCACCTCATGACATTTATTTGCCGATCTTTTTAATGCCTGACTTTTTTTTTTTTCAAGTTGTAATGTTTTAGTTTTGATTGCTTGATATGTGGAGAAAATACAAGTTCATCTTGATGATAAACAAAATTTGTTTATCTAATGGCATTTTCGTAAATAAATCAACAAAAAATCCCAGTCAGCATGACATTTTCGTAAATAAGCCAACATTTGTGGGACCCGCATATTAATAAAAGTTGTTCAGTTATTTACAAAAATGCCATGATGATTGATATATTTACGAAAATACCATTAGATAAACAAATTTTGTTTATCATGAAGATGAATGGGGGCTCCCTCATGTATGTGGTCCACTATACTCCATTTTTACCATGCATTTTTAAATGGTTTTATTCCTAAATTATTTGCATCATATTTTAACTAATCTTGATGATCCCGTTAAATGTACGATCTATGTTAAATTAAACTAGTAATTTTATATTATAACCTTGAGATTGATGATCGTTTTGAACCATAACCAAAGGCAATGAATCAACTAATTAGTGGGAATTTGCACATCCACAAATTTTTTCGGGCATAAACAATGATCGGTAGATAAACAATACACATCATTGTCTCACATAAAAGAACAAAATTAAAAAAAATATGTACATTGATATTTATGTTTAACTCTAGGGAGGCTTAAATAGTAGATTTGGTTGGTGGGAATTGATGTTGTTGTACTATTGATTTCTTGTTGGCCCTTCTATGTTGTGCAATTGTATCTAGTAATAAAGATATTGTTGAATTGGTCATTCAATGTTCTTCAATAATGTAGGCTATTAAGCTAGAAAATGGGACGTTGATACATCATACATTAAACCTTAATTTTAAGAATTTTCATAATGTGTAATTGACCATATATCACATTAAAAACAGTTACAATAGTCTCTTTTCATAAATTCATAAGGATACAAGTGTCGGCCAAACAATTCAACTAATTCAGTCGGCCAAAGTTTTAAGTGATGGACCGAACATGAAAGATCGAATCCTGTTTACATCATTATCTTCACAAAAAAAAAAAAAGTTTCAAATACTAATAATTATTTAGCTCTAGTAAACCCTTAATTAACAAACTATTGAATAAAAATTCAGGTTACTTGAATGACCCGGAGGCAACAGCAAACACCATAGACAAAGAAGGATGGTTGCACACCGGCGACATCGGATTTGTCGACGATGATGATGAGATCTTCATCGTTGATCGGCTAAAGGAATTGATCAAGTACAAGGGCTTCCAAGTAGCCCCTGCTGAGCTTGAAGGCATGCTTATCAACCATCCTAATATCCATGATGCTGCAGTTGTTGCGTAAGTATTTTTTTACTTTTTTATTAACTTATTAATCAATTAACAATAATCTCTTTTATTATGTCTCATATTAATGTATGTTACCTTAGATTTGTATTTAATGAATTAAATTTATTAAACAATATTTCAGAATGCAAGATGAGGCTGCTGGTGAAGTTCCTGTTGCATTTGTTGTAAGATCAAATGGCTCTCAAATTAGTGAAGATGATGTTAAGCAATACATCTCCAAACAGGTAGATTTCGCGTTAATTTACCTAAATGCTTACCCTGTTAAATTAAATTAGATCCCGTTCTATTTATTAAATTAGATCACGTTCTATTCACTTGATGATCAAAATTGAACTTGGTTAAAATTGATTTTTATTTATTTATCGGTCCATGAAATAAGTAGAAAAATATTTTACAAATCTAAAGATATTATTTTAATTACTCGTATATATACAAAGTAATGAACTAATAAATTGTTGTGAATTTTACGTGCAGGTTGTATTTTATAAGAGAATATACCGAGTTTTCTTTGTGGAATCAATCCCTAAACTACCATCAGGGAAAATCTTAAGGAAAGAGCTAAGAGCAAGATTAGCAAATGGCATAACTAAATAGGGTTTTAACAGCCATTTAATTAACCCAAGTTTGAAAATTACCAAGGCATTACTTCCTAGCAAGAGCAACTTATGCAACAATGCAATGTGAAGCAAGGATGTCAGTAAATATATGATTTGTACCAAAAGAATAACCTTTTGGCTTTAAATTCCTTTTTTTTTTCTTTTCTTTTTTTTTTTTTTTTTTTGGGGGGGGCAATTTGGAAAGGGAAGGTGTTGGAAATTTCAATTAATTACTTCTATATTTCTATGTCATCTTTTATAACTTTATTGTATATGATGTCATGGACTTTCTAGCTATATGAAGATTTACCTTCTTTTAATTTGATTAATGAGTGTTTATTCTTGATTTTTGTATGCTTTACTTATAGTTAGATGCTTTAATCAATTGAAAAGTTGGTGAATAAAAGCATAATACATAGTATATTTGCCTATTTGGGATATGGATAAAGATTACATATGACAACACAATTATACACATGTAGCACGTAGAAGAGCAATTTGCGAGTTAGGAGATGAATTCAAATCGGAAGTATGAATTGGTGATTGAAAATTTGACGAATCTCAAATTGGCCTCAACATTCTAAACAATAGATTTTAAGCTTAATCATCTAATAATTTCTTGATATCATCATACCAATATAAATATAGGCCTTAGATAGTTAGATCAACCCAAAAGGCCAAAAGTAAAACATGAAAACTGGATTATAGGCTTATCTTTTGAGATGGCCAATGACAGAAATATGGCCCATTACCGTGAGATGGACAATTACATAGATATTTAATGATCTGAATCATCTGATGAAGGAACTATAATATAGGCCCATTTAACAAGTATGTGCTTCAGATAGGTCAATAGGTGACTGTGCCTGTCTTTATATCCCGACTACTTAAATTCATAGGCCTTTACTAGATTGGTATGAATCTTAGTTTTAAACTAGGTTATGTCCCGTGTCACCCATGGTTATTTTAATTATTTAACAATTTCTTTAGATAAATTAATTCATAAAACAAAATATAAAAATTGCTTAGTATCCACTGTTAAAAGCGCTCAATCAAAAGAGGCAATTAATTTATAGAACATGACTATGGTTTATGTCCACTTTATGCGACGTATTTGTCTTGATATTGTTCCAATGAGATAAAGATTAAAGGCCCAATGCAAGAAGGTAATAGATTGACCCAAAAGGCTCAAAGTAGAACAATGAAAACTGGACTGTAGGCCCATTCTGCTGAGATAGACAATGACACAAATTTGGCCCATCCATTTGAGATGGATAATTGCATAACTATGGCCCATTTCTTTGAGATGGACAACTACAAAAATATCCAATTATAAAATATCCAATAATCTGATGAAGAACTATAAAATTATAAATACTACCCTCGTTGCAAATAATAAGAACAGAGGCAGTATGTGGATTTTAGATAGGGATTTCATAGTTGATTTAGCCTATACTAAATTGGGTTAAAGCCTAGCTTTAAAAAAAAAAAAACCACTTAGAGCAACTCTAATGGTTGTAGTTAGAGACTTGCTTGCAATTTAAATAGTCACTGACTACTAGCTTGACCATTGGAGCAAAAATATGTAATTAGCTTAGGGCATGTTCACATTTACTGAAATGAATTGTATTGAACTTATTGATTAGAGCTTAACTGAATTGAGCTGAAATGAATATTTTATGAGAGAAAGAAATTAGGAGTTGAACTGAACTACTGTACTAAATTGATTGGAGCTGAACTGAACTGAACTGCATTAAACTGATTGGAGCTGGACTAAACTGAACTAAATTGAAATTAAGCTGGAGTGAACATGCCCTTAGTCAAGCAAATTAGCTAAAAACTTGTCAAAAAGAAAATGCTAAGGGTCAATTAGTAATTAAGATAAACTTAATAAATTGATAATTTATATAGTAAGCTAATAGCTAGCCATTAGAGATCAAACTAGCTACAAAGATAATTAGCTTGAAAGTTTATGTGGCATGACAAGCTAATTTGACAATTAGCTTGCTATTGGAGTTGCTCTTAAGTTGATGTCTTAATCGGATCATTATTATTGCTTTGTATAATTGTTGTTAGATTACTGACAATCTACTCAACATTTAGAATTTAAAAAAAAAAAAAAAATTGCAGTTAAAGTTCTATAATTGTTTTTTTAAAAGTCAAAATGATATATGTATCGAGAGATATAGAAAGAAATTAAATGACTCGATTTGTGTTTAGGCTAGATGGAGCTTTGAGATGAAACTCATGTAGTTGCTTAGAAATCTGATTTATTTTGAAATTTTCTAATCTAATAATTATCATAATAATAAGACATAAGTTTCATAAATAAAGTGAGTTAAACATTCGTTATTCCTAGCATTGACCACCTCGAGTACACATAGTATGAGTATGTACTAATTTCAAGTTTTGGGTTTGGTCTCAAACAATAAAGACAAAAGACACAAGGAAACAAACTAATGTACGTATGAGTAATTGAACTTTAGACTTAACAAGGGTGACATTAGACATACATTGTACATGAAGGATATGAAAGATATGGAACTATAATAGACATTCCAATCTCACTCGTTTATAATACAATGATATGACAACCTCACACTATTTTCCCTATAATTTTCATGACTACTAATGTGCATGCTACTTTGTGTCCCATTTCTTTTATGCATACCTTACCTACAGTGTAGGAAATACAAATTTTATTTCGTCTACCTCTTTATAACCGTCTCATTTCCTCTTTTAAATCGTACTTAATTAACTCATTAAAAGATTGCCTCATTCATTTTTGTTTCAGCTAATATGATCGTCACAAATTTTCTCTATGATTCTGCCAACTCAATATAACTCTTAATAAAGTATAAGAAAAAGGGATTTAAGACAATCTTAAAAGAACGGTGAAATTATATTTTACGATAATATCCTTACATATATGACCAAGACCAAGCTAAGATTACGTACCGTGTATGTATATATTTTATCGAAATATCGTTATGATCACGTTGGAGTAGTATAAAGGGACAAGGACATATCCTGTTGAAACAATCCTTAATTTTAAGGATGATGTCCTACAAATTTTAACCCAGGAATCTTTCGCAAGTACTCAAATAAGCTAGAATTAAAACATTTTTGGTAGTTTCCAAGTTGATGCAATGTCTCTGAATTTAAGGACAAGTCAAGTTTCACCGCAATTCTTGCTGACTCTTTGGTTTATTAGTTTGGCTTTTGAATTCTACAAAGATTTTCTGCTTTTAATTTGCTTCCTAGGGATTGCCTAAACAATTTATTCAATGATTTTCTTATGATAAAATTGAATTCTATGCATGTGCTTCTTGTCAATCATCATCGACAACGTTATGGGTTAAATAATATTTTGATTCAAATGGATTAATGTGTTCTATAATGGTGTCAATATTTTTATCTAATTATCTATAAGTACTTATATTATTATAAAATGGGTTATTTTGTTTCATAAGAATTCATATATCCACTTTAAAATTATTGTTAGATTGTGCTTTCGTAATGAAAGTTTTAATTTTAATTGTTGTTATACTGAACATCATTTAATTTTACGTATTTATTTATTTGCACAACAATTTACATAATCGGATGTCACAGTACATAGCCATGCATGTAAAATATAATCACGCGTCACATTCGTTGGAATTAATTTGGATTGTTATTAGTAAATAGACAAAGTTTGGTGCATTCATAATAAGATCAAAATTAGCATATGTATTAATTAATAATGCTACAATTCGGTAAAATCACATCTTTCAAATGATCATAATTTTACAAGACATTACGATCACACATAAGATTTCAGAATCATAGGATCGGATAATAAGATTCAAATAAAAGTATAAACAACCCATAAATTGTACGTGTATTGTCACGCGTGTACGTTGATCTACATGAAACAACATTGTTCATCAAGCTGGGTGAATATGTCATGGAAACACCAAACATGTACTTATAATTCGAATTTTGTTGTCACGACCTTCAAAAGTAGAGACGAAAATTAGGTCATGAATTGAAGATCATTGAAAGAAAGTCCAAATAGACAATACGTAGACTGTAGAGTATGGGATTTGAACCAAAGTGATTGAAAACTTAGAGCATCAAACTTTACCCATGATCAATTGCATGGGGTCCCATATTAACCCATAAAAGACACACTTCTTTTTCCCATGAACTGAGATAAGAACTACAAACAACATGTTGATGAATATTCATTTTCAAGTACGAACTAGTTTTCTCATCAACCCTGTCATTATGTAATCTGTGGTTTATACACACGGGTGTACAGTGCTCATCATACACCCGGATAAATAAAAAAAAGGCGGAAAGAACATCCTGTGTTTCATAAAGAACATACATGTATTTGACAAAGAACATGGTTGTATTTGACAAAAACATGCATTACCAAAGAACATAAAGATATAATAAAAAGAACGAGATAAAAGCTTGATAAAATTTTCTGAAAAATTACACATTATTAACGGGAAAAATTTAGAAGTGATAAATAATCGAGTAGGGCCGGGCCATATCATAATTTCTCGTGCTCAAACCCGTAGAAAAGTAGCGGGTTTTCGGGCTTTTTTCGAACCCGGATCGAGTTTTAACTAACTAAAAATGCATTTTTAGGTTTGCCCAAACCCACCCTATTTCGGGCCGGATCGGGTCGGGATGTGAGTCATGCCAATGTTGATCACCTCTTAAAAAATCCTTACCAAAGATATCATTTCCCTAAAAAATAGTTTTCTATCTCTCCAAAAAAAAATTCAACTTCCCATAATAATTTAGTTTTTTTTTACTCTAACATTATTTTCAATTAAAAATAATTTAAGATTTCAATATCAAATTTCAAAATACCAAATGTTAAAAAGAACATAATTTATATTGTAAAGTACATATAGTTAATACCTAAATAACACACTAATCAAACTCAAAGAATGTGCGATAATAAAAGTAATTTAAATATGACATGATAATAAAAAATAGAATTTGGGCGTCACTATGACCTTAAAGAACATACACGCCAAATTCAAAGAACATACTTTGTATTATTAAACCCAAAAAAAAATATGTTTATCAACATATGTTAAATAACATAAGTTATAATGTAAAGAACATATAATTTTACTCAAATAACACACTGATCACCAGACCAGGGCACCGTGCCGGGCCGTGCCGCGGCGGGCCGTGCCTGGCGGGCCACGGGCTGGTTCGTGCCGTGCCGGTCGTGCCGGCGGGCCCAGGATTTCGTGTCGTGCCGTGCCGGCCATTTTCACAGGCCAGCCCACGGCACGGCACGGCCCTCGTGCCTGGC